TCAACCAAGGCGAGGCAAGCCTAAACCAAGGTGAGGCGCAAGCCTCATAAAAAAACTTGAGGCGTAAGCGTCGAGGCGTTTTTTACTGGAATTGCGCAAAGGCGGGCCTCAATGCGAGCCTCACATTGCGCAATTTTAAACCATGAATAGAATTAGGGAATACATTCTTGGAAAGACCGTCACTATTTGGGATAGGCTTTACATCTATTAGAAAGCTCAAATTATTGGGCATGTGACTTATGTTTATTAAAAGACCCATAACAAAGACTTACAACCTCGAAGACAAGAAAATCTAATGATGGGTCTTATAGCCTTACCATATACTCATATAGGCAAGGTGACCTGAATTTAGGTTGAATTTAATTGACTTGAGGTATTTGTGTCCGCTTAATTCATTTGGTTGAAGTGGAACTTATGTTCTTGACTAACATTTGATGTTTAAAATTAACTTAATTTAAAATTTGAGACATATTAAAGATAGAAATAGAACTCGGGTCTTTGACCAATCTGCTTGATCAACCAAGCAGACATTGAATGTATTTGAATCAACAAGCATTTTAGTAATTTAGGCATTAAGATGTTTTTAGAAGATTTTGCTACCCTAAAAGGCATTATAGACATTTCAGATTAGCCAGGGGTCTATTAGAACCCATGGCATAAGTTTTATTAGATAATTTCAAGCGTATTTAATACATTCCCATTTTGTGTTGACATACACACCAAGGCACTTGAAGATATACATGCAAGCCATTTATAGTCATGTATTTATTTAATAGCCTCTCCCAATTATTCAAACACATCGTAGAAGGGTTTGCTTTTTTTACATACTTTTTGAAATATTACTATATTAGCATGCTTTTCAAAATGCAAGTATGGTTATCAATGTATCAACATGGATATTTATGTCAATGCACAATTTAAATACATATTACTTGAATTATTGACGTAATCAAAAGTTAAATCCCTTTGTATTTAAGACCAAGGATCAAAAAATTTATATCTCATTAATTAGCAATTTAATAAATGTTTTGAAACACCATATCAAAATAACTGATTTAAATATCAACGAAAATGTGGATAAAACAAACCTTACCTGCATAGAGAAAACCACTCCTGAATCCTCTCATTTACACATCAAGGAGAACTAAGGGAATGAATCGGCTTTTCTTGAACGATCAAATTTCTAAAGTAATTGCTAATGACTCCATAACACACAAAACGTGAAAGAGATATATGATTAGGTTGTGAAATTAGAAGGCTATTGATGGGGACATCAGATTTCGACATGTGTACCATCGCCCGAGACACAGATCGACGGCCACGATGATCTGGATTTTCTTCATTTTATGTAGTAGTTTAATTTTATTTTATGTTTTTTTCGTTTTTGTCCTTATGGGTATTTGGTCGCTATTGTAGCCCGAGGGGCATTTTAGTCTTTTGCTTTCTTTGTCATTGTGAGGCCTATTTATATGGCCGTTTTCTTATGTAATAGTTTTTAATTTTTGATGAAATGAAAATTACTACTTGTTCTCTTTGTGAGTTCCTCCCTCCAAGATCTCTTAGTGAGTTCGTCGGAGAAGACTAGATCTCTTTGTGAGTTCTAGTTTTTGTGCTAGCTAATCTTGTGGAAATTCAACGAGAAGACATTTGAGGTTAGTAAATTCGTAGTCGTCAAATCCCCAGAAAATTCCATCTCTTTTTCCCCCTTGCCCTTGCCGCCGCCTGCTCCAAGAAGCCCTAAGCCGCCGGCCACCTTGCCCCCCCCCCCGCCGGCCAACCCAAGCCGCCGGCCGTCCCTCCCTACCGCTCCCACGGCCGCCCACATCAGCCCACCCGTCCACCTGTTTTCAAAATTTGAAATCCCAGGCCCAATGCTTTAATTTCTTTCCTATTCTACCTCTCATTCTATTAGGAATTTTGGCCTGTTTTATTTCTTTGCATTTAACGGGAAGTTTCCAACGGCTAGAAGCTAAAGCCATTTAGGAAATCTTTCTGTAGAGTAAATCTGAGAATTGATTCTCAGATTTATTAATTCCGTAAGTTTCTCAAGAGAGGCCACGTCACTATTTTGGTTGCTCTCATCTCTCCATGGGGCCGGCCACCTTCTCCTCTTTTATCTCTCCAATCCCCACCAATCAATACTCAAATATCTCCTAAATCCCTCCCCATCTCTCACGGGATTTCAGTTTTATTTCAAATTTCAAACCTGAGATTTGAAACAAATCTTCCCTGTCTCCTCTAAATTAAAATCTGAAATCAGATTCAGCTTTCTTCCCTCCCACTAAATAACATCTATTTTCCTTCTCCCTCCACCACCCCAAGACCTGCCACCTCCTATTCCCTCTCGGGTACTCCTTCAACCCTAGGCAAGAATGCATGGCCGACCCCGAATTTGAATGGGGACTTGTGTTCGACGCCCACGGTAATCTCGACATCCGGCAATCGCCTTTCTTCGACGCGGGATTTGATTCCGACGACGACACCGTTGGAGCTTACTTGGACCGGATCCTCCCGACTCTCATACACGTCATCGACAAACAACGTCCAGACTCCGAGTGGATCATTGACGTCCGCCCACCCGCTCCTCCAAATTCGGCTTCTTCTCCGGCGACGAGTCCTCTCGGAATCACTTGTCTACTAGTGGCATCGCTAAGTCTACTTACGATTCTCCTCCGCTAGCCACCACTTTCAAAACGAGTGAAAAACTTCAAGGTGAATGATCTAAGTATTAAATTTGGGGCTTTGTTATTCGTAGCTATTGCATTACTTAAATTCTCGGTGATATTTTGAAAAGCTCCTCTAATCTTTACATGTAATTTATTGTCATTGCTTAATCTATCAATGTCTTATTCTTAAACTCAACTTGAGCAAACAAAGAGTTTTGGTAGCAAGGTAAAAGTCATTACTTCTATTAATTTTTCAAGTGTAATTCTTGATTCACCGCATGTTGTTTTACATCAGCTATAGTAAGTGTCTAGAAAAGAGCACACAGTGCGTTACGGGTAAGGATGACACCGGACTAAAAGATGACCGAGAGAGGTGAGCAAGTGCAAGAAATGAGATAATGGGAGATGTGCGCTAGAAATACTAAGACATGGAATTAGAAGAAAAGATTGTTTGCAAGTGGGGGATCATCCACAATAACATATGAGAGTGAAATTTGTGGCTTTTGTGAGCCCTTTTTTTTAATAAACATGCTACAACTTCATTGCATGCCGGCTAAAATTGAAGTTGCCCGAAGAATAACACTCAAGCAGACTTAAAACAGAGGACTTCAAATTCAACAATTAATCCAATAGCAACACTAATGAAACAAACAACTTGGGCATAATAAGATGAGAGATTACCTATACTAAGAGTATCATGAAAAAAGGCAACATGTCTCATTCCCATAGGCACATCATCATAGACATGTTCCAAAAATACTATAATTAAAAAGAAGGCAAACTATGAAACAAAAATAAACTTGATCAAATGAATATTTATTGACAAACAGTTTCTACAAATATAAACTTGAAAATCTCCTTAAAAAATTTATCAATATCGAACAACAACGATACTAAGAAATAGTCCATCTTTAAGAGGATCTTGGGACTTCAGCTTAAGATGTCATCACGCCATTAAGCAAATTCAACATCTTGTATCTCTAGCGGAGGAACAAAATAATTAAATGAAATAATCTTAACATCAAGCATGATCTCAAGCTCCAGCTTAATTACTAGCCCAGCTTGGCACCTATATCAGATATGGGGAAGGACTCTTTAATGATTATGTAACTTGAGGAATGGGTATAAAATACAAGGAGAGAGAAAGAAAGGAAGAAAGAAAGCAACCCTAAGAGAATGAGAAAAAGAGAACACATCCCACGAGGAGATGAGCTTTCAAGCAAACATGTTTTTCACTCGATAACCTTCAATTAATGCGCATTGTCGTTAGGCAACCTTTATATAGAAGAGAGCCCTGAGTACATACAGAAATTGCTTAAGACTAATACAATAATATTTCCTATTAAAAAAAATATTAGGAGCTTTTCCCATATTGATGGAAGATTGTTTCCTTATTATATACTTAAAATATGAAGCATAATTAAAACACGCTAAACTATAGGCACGGCAATGATATTTATTGAGAAGAAATGACAATTGTAATAGTCCTGCATTAATAATTCAGAGAGTTGCATTTTATTTGCAAATCAAGTAAGCAAAATTGTTCATTTCTATTAAATCAAAAATATCATATCAAGGTTATATATCCTGGAACACCCAATAATTAGTATTGCAGAATAAAATGAGGAGCAGATCTAAAAAAAATTACCTCTGAAAAATCCAGCACTTGGCACAGCATCTAAGAATGTTTCAACAGCTCCGAGTACATAACTGGAAAGAGCAACAGAACATACATCTATGTCAAGCAAAAAAAAGTACCAGTGTTCCAGAAGCAATTATAGCTTCCATGAGGATCTGGCAATCCACAAAGAAGGTGATATATAGAACAAAGGCCTAAAAAACCAGCATGAAGATATCACCTTATAATTTGCTTATCCCTTGATGGACACTAGATTTCTTCAGATGCTACAGAAGCTTCCTAACAGTCTAAGCAAGTTCTGCAAGTAGGGCATTATTTTGTAAGGTTGCCAAAAATTAATTATAGGTTTTTTAGCATAATTTAATTTAATTCAAATTTTAATTATATGTATATATAATGGCTCTTCCTCACAAATCCTCGTTACTCATACATAATGAATTTTCATATCACTTTAGGGCATATATATCTAATATTTTGTGATTTTTTCTCATGTGAAGATCTAGACAATATGGGTGTCGTGTCCAGGCATTTACAACATTTTGAATGTGCTAACACAAGTCCCTGGCAATTAAGTGCTTTCATCATAGACGATGCACTCCAGACTAGTCTTACACGACAGCGTGTTCATTGTTCATCATTTTTATCATATTTGATCACATTATGGGACATTTATAGAAGTCTACATAATATTATGATTATAATTGTTATTGAAATGAAAAGCCTAGTTTTATAATTTCTTTATAGTTTAAATATGATGATTACATTGCATATTATTATTATTATTATTATTTAAGTTATTGTAGTATAGAATTGTGATATATGCAATGAGTTATATATTTATGTCAACCGCATCAGTTGATCAAGTTTTCTAAAAATTCTTTGATAGAGTAAATGAATGGATGATAGAAGGGGTTTTATTTACAATATCTGAGAAACATGAAATGTTCGGTACTTGTAAAGTTATGATAGATGAATAGAGTAATTTAAATATTTTCCCTCCAAATATTTATATGTATTTTTCAGGATCTATGTGAACATCATGATGATAAATAATTTTTTTTTTATTTAGTGACTCTTTTATGATATTGGAAGTCTTATGTAAAGAAAAGCAATTGTTTTAGACGGTTTTATTTTTTATCAATAGAAAGCTTTAAACTTTCATCCTACCATCAGCTCCCACCTCACTAGTCCGAGCACCTAAGTTGAGTCGTGGCAAGGCATGACAAGCTACAACATCACCTCTTGGCACCAAGTCCAAGTGCCTACTCTTAACCTATGGGGTCACTTGGAGGCCAAGTCAAGTTCAACAATTACTAGTGCCAAATACCTCACCGACAATGAGTTAATTCATGTCATTTCATTGTGATCTTAGACTGGTCAATTTAGACAGAATGACCATTATTGGTATCGATGGCTTGAATTGATCAAGTTCTTGGGATTATTGATTCCCTGCATATGTCCTCCCTCTTTTGGTGGATTCAAGTTCCCTTTTCCTAGTTTAAATTAACGAGCTTTCCATTTTTTTATCTAGCTTGAATAGCAGTCACATATTCTTAAAAAATAATCAAACTATATCACCAAATTCTTTTTAGATTGTTTATCAACATTAAAAAAAATCATGATTTGATTAAGAAATAAAATCAAAAACTAATTGAAAAACGAACTAAGTTTTTCCACAATGATCTTGTTCAAATGGCATTTACTAGGATGGTTTGAATCCCTAAACTTAAATCTTCTTTCTTCATTTCCACACTGATTTCACTATAATCACAAACTCATATTTTTCAATTTTTGTAAGCTCTATGATCTAATAATTTTGATCCTCTTCTTTATTTATAAGGTTACAGATCATCCTCTCTAGTACATATCTTTTGAAATTCTTTTTTGTGTACATGTTATACTCAACTTTTTCGTATATAGCACAATGTCTCATGAATTATACTACTTCGTTATTTTGATGAGATTCGCATGCATACAATGGTATGCATGCGTACAGAACTCTGAACTCAATTTTATTCAAATTTAAATAAAAAATATCATGAAAAGACACATTATTTATCTATGGCGACTAGTTTTAAGAAGTAATATTTATAAATGCTAGATAAACTATAAGATTGGAGAATTCTTCCATGGTATATATATATATAAAACAGGCATCAAAATCTTAAGCACTATAGAAATGCCTAGGGCATAAAAAAGTCGATTCACAACAAACTCAAATTGGACTCGTCACTCAAAAATGTAGCTCAAACTCAAGCTCGAGCTTAACTCGCCCAATCTTTCTCAAGCTTGAGAGCTCAACCCAAGAGCTCTCTGGAGAAGCATCGCCAAAGGAAGTTGGGCGGAAACTCATTGGAGAAGGCATCTACGAGACCAACAGTTAGACTCTTAAGAAGAATAGGAAGCTACAAGATGGTGGATGGAGATCACTGGAGGAGGAACGACGCTCTTCTCAAAGAAGGGGAGGAGAAATAAGTGTTGAACCATAGGGTTCGGAAGTCAAAAATAAAAATAAGTTCATAAAAAAAGAAACCAATGTTGTACAGCTGCATTGATACATGTTTACTTATGGAATTACTGTGGTGATACTTTTCGTTGTTCCATTGAATGGAGTCCCATTTGTTAATACAAGAAAATTTTCTAGCAGCTTTTTATTTCTTTGCAAGATTCTAAATATCTACTTTATTCAAGCCGGATCGTGAGTCTACGAGCCGAGTTTCGTCAAGCTTGAACTCAAGCTCATTTAATATATGAGCTTGAGTTTGAGCTCGAGCTCCAGCTTGTGGCTCAATAAGTTCAATTTGCAAGCTCATTAGCAAGCCATGTTCAGCTGGCTCACCAGCCAGCTCGGCACATTTACAACCCTAGAAATGCCACATTAATTCAAGAAATTTAGGCGTTCATGACTCAATGATGCATTTCAACCCATTTTATGAGTTCTTCTCTAGAAAACACCAGGCATGCTAAGCTAAGGAACTGAACTGCATAAAGGTTTGCTCTACCAGATTTCTCAATGTGCAGGAACAAAACAAAAAATTGAAAAATGAGCAGAACATTATACAAGACAATATTAAAACACGTACAGTGCTCCAGCAACAGCATTCCCAAGGAAGAAGCATAAACCAATACTGACACCAACTTCTGGACCAAGGGCTCGACCAATAAGATAATATGGTCCCCCACCCTATCATCAAACAAAAAATATGAACAAGACAGCACATATTGAAGCATATAAAAAGCATTCACCTTTATAAATGAGCACTTTGACAATTGTTAATAATTAAGTACAAAATGTAATAATGATAAATTCAAGAATGTGTGCACCAAGCAAGATAATACCTTTACATTATTGGAATGCATTTAGCCAAAAATTTAAGTAATTCTAAAAAAATTTGATGCTAGTGACAATTCCTTTAACAATAATCATGTTAAAGCCAATTTTTGAGTCAAGAAGTTCCAAAATTAAATGTTCATAGCCAATCTATTTGGCTGAAATCTGAATTAAGTAATCTTAGCTTTGGTGATATGATTTGGACACAATGTGACAGGGACTTTTAATTGCCAACTTTTAGGATGGCTTGAAAGAGTTTAAAGTTTTATGATAGCTCCATCACAATTCAATATACAAAAAATCTCTAACATTTAATTTATACAAATCAAACAGATGATGTTTCCAATCCAAAAATCCTAATGTAATATTCAATGTCCTATCTATCAATTTGTTCATCATAAAGATGATTAATCATGATATATTTTAGAATTTATAGATTAAGAAAATAAAACTGCAAAAATGTCCTAACTATAAAAGGTATATCCTGGATGGTCAATCTAAAAGCGGCTCCACTACCATTAACCAATTCATTCCTCTCCATCACTCCCACCATTAAAATGCACCATGGCACAATAATAATGGTGGCAGGCAAACTCATTTTGAGAAATTTTTCCAGAATGGCATATATAGCAAAGTAGCTCCAGTAGGCATCCATCTAACCTCAGCTTATACATGGAATGAAGAGGTTATGAAACCCATGCGTGTGTAAAGCCGGAAGATGGAATCCTCAAAGAAAAATAGACTTAATAAATTGAGGATTCATTAAAGAATGCAGAGCAGATGATGTATCAATTTAAGGTAGGGAGCAAACTTATAGTGAAATCCATAGAAATCAATTGGTTGGACAATAGGTTATTAGATGAGAAGTTGTGAATGCATAAATTTGAGTAAACAGCACATCCGGCATGCACATAATGTCTAATGCATATAAAAAATCACGAAGGAAAAAAGCTAAGATACCTTCATTGCCCCGTTTGTAGCAATTGCACTTAATGATATAGATGTCAAAAAAGTGCAAGCACCACAGAAAGAAACCAGCATAAGCGATTCACCAATGCCACCCATGCCTACAATCCTAAAATGGTAAAGATAAAAATAAAGTGGTTAAGAATATTTATATATTGATAAGTAAAACATTAAAGTTGATCAGCACTTAATATAAAATGTCTAAATACTTACAAAATGGCAAAAGGAATATATATATAGAGAGAGAAAGATAAGGATATATTTTTCTCCTCATAGGAGAATAATTAGCATTCTTTAACCAATAAAAAGTTGATATTATGGGCTTCAAATGCAAAATAAAAAACTCCCATTCCCTTTTAACATCTAAAAATAGTGGCATGCATCAAGAATTTTAAGATTATTTGTTCATCCGCCGGATGCATCAAAAATTTCACATGGATGACTCACATGCCACAAGAAGAAAATTGTAATTTCAAATTGTATAAAGTGTCAAATAGCTTAGAATGAAATATATTGGTTAATGACAATCTCGTGCATGTATTGGATGATTTAATTGATGAAATACAATAGTAATACTAGTTTAGGACTTCCACGTGACAACTGAAAATTTATAAATTTTTTCACACACTTAATGAGGTTAAATCATCACAAGAATAGATGAAACATGATATCCTCTATGATAAGCATTATTTATGATCCTATTTAAAAAAATCGCATTATTATCTTAATTTTAGGGCAAAGATAATTTACAATGTTAATACCCATATTTCTTCTTGCATGTCACACCTAAAATTCAACTTTTCAAATTAATTTAAGTATTTGCTAACTATTGCACGATTTCGGCAAGGTTTTGAGGATCCATCGGGTAAGGCATGATTCTGAGCTTCTCTCTTTTTTTTTTTTCCCTTGGGTATAACATACAGGTCAACACTATTCAATATATTTTACCTCAGATTCATCAATTATTTAACCATTCTAGATATAAAAAAAGTATATTGATGTCTCTCTGTCAATCTAGCTTTCACATCAACCAAAATTCTAATAGGATGTTCTGCAAAATGGTCTATGTTACGCTTAAATCCTAGAAAAAATCTTTATCAACACTAACCAATTTAAACTTTGCATATTTAGCACATTCTCAGTACCCATAGAATATCTAATCAAAGAGAACCTCAAATTCAAATATCCAATCAATAAAAAATAAAATAAAGTAATTTATTCCAACAAAAGTGGAAGCATTGATATTTACTTCATATCTATTAATTCATATTCAACATGATGCCTATTGTCTTCTCATCGAGATCATCACTAGAATAATAATCTTGAAGGTGTCAAGGGCCTCTTGGATCTCAACTTTATTTACTCTCCTAATAATCTCTATGATCCATACGATCTCTAGGATTCCTAGTCAGCTCAAGTTAAGTATGATGGTCATATGAACCAAATGTAAGGACATTTCTAGCCACTTCAGAACAAGAAGTATCACTACTTATACAATTGTATGTCCTAAGGGGAACATCATCAAGAACTTCTACTGTCATTTAAGGCGTTCAGAGGAGGTGAATATCTCCTCCATGAGATGCACTCCATATGGGTTCAACACGCAAGGCTATAATTTTACATTGTTTACACTATGCTCAAGTAACTCCTCATGTTTAAATAATATTTCGTATTTACCTCTTAATGCATCAAAAGTCACAGTAATATGTGTGCAAAAGAAACCACATCTAAAAAGATAATCCTATATGGGAGAAGGTAGTAATACAAAGTAGCGAACGTAATACCCAATTTTCATAAGGTAAAAGTAAAAAAATTTCTTAGACTCGACTTCACTTCACACATGCATTTTATAGATGGACAAGCTCTCCTTCTTTGCGCATAAGTCAAAGTAGGGATTTCCATGATTTCTTGCCTTAGATTTACTTATCTATACTATATCTGACCAACTGCACATCCTACCTCCTCTACGTTCTTGACAGCCCATCTTTTTTATCTCAATAGAGACTTTTAGTGCCATGTTTCGGTCCTCATCCCCATTCCTTAGTCGTAAAAATATGTGCCCATGAAATGGGGATTAAGTGGAACAAAATTGGCCGAATGTTAAAGTCATGGAAACACTTGATTCTTCAATTTTTTTGGCCTTAGCTCCATGCAATAATATGCTGCTGTTGAAACATGGAAGATATGAAATCTTAGAACACTAAAATTATACCTCAAAATATTGACTTTCACAAAAATCATTTAAAAAAAAAAATATTTCATTGGGTTATATTCATCAAATGGAACATTTTGATATAAAAAAGTAAATGCTAAGAAAGTTATAGCATTAATTTTGATTTTAATAAAAATTTCCTAAAGTTTTTTTTTTTTTTAATATTAATGTTCATCCATTAAATCTATAGTAGTAGAGCTAGGAAAAATCAGTATTTCACTTAGGGAAACATCTATTACCTATTGTTAAAGGTAGATTAGGTAAAATGCATTAAATAGTAATTCCCTTCCATGCTTTGTCGAGCATTCACATCACAAGGAACTCTCAGTTTAGGGCCATTTTTAGTGCCAAGAGGTCTCGGGTTGGTGTAGAAGCAAGAGAAGGTCCAAAGGATGGAAGGGGAAGAAGTAAGAGAAGGTCAAGAGGATGTAAGGGGCAGAACGGGTAGGAGAAGGAGAAAGAGAAGAAGAAGGAGATGGAAGAAGAGAAAACAGAAAAAGGAGGAGAAAGAGGGGAAAGAAGAAAAACAGGAAGAAGAGGGAATTAGGGAAGGAAAAGAAAAGAGGCAAGAAATTGGTTTGCATTATATATATTCAATTTTTGTAAAGATCCTAATTTAAATAATATTCAATTGTGGTTTAAGATTCACGTATTGTATTAAGAAGAGGAAGTTTTGACATAAAACGTTAATTTGAAATAAATTGAGCTATATTTATTTTGATTATGATAGAAATTATAGAAATTGAGAAGTTTGAGTTTGTATGTGATCTGCAAGCATAAGAGGTTGCGAGTTGTCAAATTTGGAGATGCAACTCATTATGATGGTAAGATCTTCAATCTTCTATTTCAGGAAGTAAGTTCTTTAGTCTTTTGCATGTACATTTGCACCTGAATTACAGTTAGATGCGCAATGCATTAGAAATTCTTCATATTGTTGAATGTACATTCACAAAATATTATTCAGTTATAAATGACACTGTATAAATTTTAATGATTCAAACTCAAAATAAATATGATGGGGACATCAGTTGGAAAGTCTACCGTCGACGTGGCCGTAAATCAACGGCCACGATTTATCCGATGTACTTTTGATATTTTTAATGTCTACTTATTGATGTATCTTTTTTATTTCAGCATTTTTCCCTTTTTACCCTTGCTTGAGGGATCGAGCCATGTAACCCCTTGGGCGTATTTGAGTCCTTTTGTTTTAAGTCATTGTAGAGGCTATTTAAGGCCTTCATCTTGTTCTTTTGAGGGATGAATGATAATCAAAGAAATTTCCTGCACTTGTGTTCTTGAGGCTTAGGTAAGAGCTTGAGAAAGAATTTGAGAGTTTGATGGAGCCTAGGAGAGGCCACCCGTCGTACCCAACAGTCACCACCGGTGGCTCTTGGTTCTCCACCTTTCCTTCTTCCCTTCTACTCCACTTCCACCGCCAGCCATCCCCACCACCAACCTCCACCCCATAACCCCTCCTACCAAAGCTCACCTCAACCCTAACCACCAATCCAATCCCTTTTCTCCATTAGCTCCTCCACCCGCCCCACCCAAGCCAAGCCCCACCGCTGGCCACCCTTGTTTGTCTCCATGAATGAGGAGTCAATGCCACCTTAATGGTTACCTAAAGAGTTCAAATAATTTGGGAAATTATTTTCATCATTTGAAATTCAAATTTTGAATTTCAAATAGTTTCCTAAATTAGAAAGCTATTTTAGGAAAGTATTGAATCTCATTCACGATCTAATTCAAATTTAATTTGGGTGGAATTTTTCTTCTCCTAAATTAAAGAGACCAATTAGGAATGGGATTTAAATTTCTCCACAAAACCCCCTCTCCCCCTCTCTCCATGCCGCCGGCCCCTTACATGGGCTCCACCCCTTTAATGCTACATTAATGCTCTTAATTGCTTGTGTTTTGAAATCAAAATTCAAAGTGTTTTCCCTCCAATTCTACTCAAAACCTGAAAATAATTTCAGATTTGGAGATTAGAATATTCCCACCTTCCCTCAACCTAGTTCTTCCCAAACTCTAATCCTTTTTTTCCCCTACAAACCGCCAGCCTCTCTTCCCACCACCAACTCTCTCCACTTTCCTCTATTAGGCTCTCTCTTTCTCTTGTTTATGATGTATGACCAATCCAGAACTTGATTTCGGTCTTGCGTAAGACGACTACATCATCGTGGATCCTCTCAAATCGTCGTTATTTAACTAATCTACGCCTTGACGGATTCATAGGAAAATCTGTCGACCACATAAGATTCACTACGCCTGAGGGTATGGAGGAACCACTAGTGAATGTCACATAGCTTATCAAGACGGGTTCTCCTTAAAGGTGATCATCTTCCTTGACTCGTGTATTTTCATATTCTATCTACTTCGTAGAGAGATTATTCAAAGCAAGAGATTGTGTTCCATCATCGTCATCCATTAGTAAGCGTAGGATTATTGTTTCGTTGCTATTATATCTCTTTGTTAGATCAAGGCTATGTTGAAAGCTATTTTGTATGCATTACTTTGGATATTCCTAAATGTTTTGATTTCGTCTAGTCTCTTGCGTAACTTAGCCTAAATGGAAGAGACCGCTTATTAGTTTTATTTTGATATTTTAATCGCTAATAACTAAAATCCAAAATTGCTCTTTGATTATTTTGTGCAAGTTTCCTGTTTAGCATCTAGTCCTGCATCAAAATATTTTGGGATTATGTAAATTGTTTGCTATTTGATAGTAGTTTTTTTAAAAGGAAAAATGTGTTATTTAAAATCTTCCTTTTTTGAACAAGCACTAGTCCACATGCTTATGATGCACTGGATTATTTGTCTATTTTAAACTAATGCATGACAAATTTAACTAAAAGTTGAAGTATTTGATCATAATCCACTAAAACCTGAGGAATGTC